ATACTATATGCCAGCAGCATAAAAGCAATTTTTTGTGTTTTTTCTTTGATTTTGAGTCTTTTCTTCTGATAATTTTGGTTTATATGAGCGTTGGCCAGAGCGTAACGGCCAGAGTAATCTCGCATGAAAATTTAGTGCTTGACGGTATTTTAAAACGTAAAGTTGTCCAATTCACGCTCTCGCGGTTGGTTAAAAAAATCGCAACATCAAATTGAAAAAGTAAAATATATGTACATATGCATAAAAGTTAAGAAAAGCTGCAGCAATAGGAGCTTGTGAGTGTAGCGACGAGTATTGAAGTCAGTGAGTGAGTGAGTGAGTGAGTGAGCGAGTGAATTTTGTATGCGTGCAAACTTCAGATTGCTTGCATTTGGTGAGATTAAAAAAAATGAAAACAAAAAAAAAATTATAAATATTTGAAATTGCAATATTTGTATAAAAGGCAGCGACAGCAGTTCGCACGCAGATAATTTCATTTTAATATTCATTGCTAACACACACGCAAACTGCCATCAGCACGCGCGGTATTCGATGACAACGAAATAACCAACGATTACACGTTAATAATATTAGACGAAACGTTTGTGACACAGTGTTCGATAAACATTAATACTAGCTTACATACATACATGAAATAAAGTGCATTATTTTCCATATATCCCATTTTTTCAGTGTTTTACTTAGCGAAAATTATATTTATGTAAATTAAATATAAAAAAATAAAACAATAAATAAACGTGCATAAAGGGGCATTTAAAGCAAGCAAAAAGTACAAATTCAAAGCATAAATAATACTAAAAAAAAAATCACTACAACAACTGCACAACCAACTATCAACAAATTTATTTAATCAGTGCATTTAAAAAAAAAAGCGTTAAAAAAAATTATAATAATCAACCACAATGAGCATGAATTTCACACGTCAACTATCGGAAATGAGCGCCAGTGAATTAAATGACGCCATTGACGATACCAATTTCCCGCAGGCGCATATCCTATCACGTGGTCGTAACAATAGCGTCTGTTCGACTAGCTCTGCATCGGGCATAACACCACTTATGGATCGTACACTCTCGCAGACAGATGAAGTACCTAATGTAGTTGGTACAACGACTACCAGTGGTAGTGTGAATAGTGCCAGTGCTGTTGTCGGCGCAGTGGTTAATGCGCTATCCAATGATGGTGTGATTACATCGCCACCAGTAGCCTTTACACGTCCGAAATTGATGTTGAAAACAAATGGTATTATACCGGAGCATGAAGCCGAGGCACCGATGACACCAAAAACACCACGCACATCAACTACACCAGGTGGGTTTGTGTTCTAAGGTAGCACGTGCTTTCTATATGTAGAGTGGTAGCTGAATCTAGTGTTTATGTTGTATAATTGATAAAAAGGAATAGTCGATAATTTTCTTTCGATAACAAGTATTCTTTATAGTCGCTAAATTTTAGTTTGGCATCGTTTAATGGCGTAGTTATGAATTCAACGCCACAGAAGCTTCGTAATATAGTGTACCTATGAAGCTAAATTACGAAATGTCAATACTCAAACTTATTTTGAAATTGTAGCGATTTACATGCTCGTATTAATTTGAGTTTTAACTTCACTCCCGGTGTTTTATACAAATTCATATATTGTTTACTTCACTATATTTCTTCGCCCATAGTAATCTACTATCCCTTCTGATCTCGTTTCGTTAAAAGACTGTTCCTACATGCCGTTGCATCTTATATTATCGTGTTTCTTGAATTTTCGGCAATTTTTTTTCGTTTAAAAAATTTGCACTTCTTTCCTTGTAGAAATATTTTATTCGACGTATGCTTATTCTTCCATTAATACTTAATCATTCACAATAAGCACATCTAAGTGCTGTATTTGTTTATTTGAAGCAATTGTATCCAATTTTTGCTGGAATTTAGAATCAAATAAAATTTCCCTGTTTTCTTATTTACTGAATAAAATTAAAGTATGTAGTTTTCTAAAAAAAAACTAAAATAGTTCAAAAATCGATTATTAATTGAATGACTCGTTTCAAGCAGTTTGCTACTATTTATTAAAAATTTTTATTAATAATTTCTACAAGCTGCGGTTACTATGTAGTTCAAATCTCGCTTACAATTTCTTACTTTTACTTTATCTCTAAATTTATTCAATTTATTTTTTAATATATATATATATATATATATACATATATGCAGCTGAAGCTGCGTAGGAAATAAAGTCTTATCTGCACTAAATATATGCTTTAATTTTGATTTCTGTCTACTTATCAGCTGAAACGTTCTTTATTGAAAACTTACGAACATGTATTAGTACATACATACGTATGAGAAAACTAAAATTAATTTTTTTTAGAACTAAAAACGATGTAACGCTTTATAGCCGTTAAATGAATGTTTTGTTGAAGGAATCTCTAAATGACTGTGGCTAATCACTTCTTCCTCAGCCAAGGGTCGACCGCATAAATGAATAACTTTTAGGATATTCTGCTATATGGCTAGAGTACGAAGAAGCGATCAACACTCGACAGATGTTTTTGTACTCATTCAAGGTTAGGTTCGCAGTGCTATATGTTTGGTGTGTGCGAGTGTTATTTAGGTTATTTTAGGTTAAACTGCAGTGCCAGCCTTAGACTAAACTCAAGGTCCACTCCCAGTTGAGAGGGACATCGGCCGAAAAACATTTCAGCGGTTACAAAGCACCAATTGTATGGTAAACTAGGGAAAGGTCTTTGATTCAATATCATTTGCTGAAAGCCGGCTCTGTAGATATGTATAGCTTAATCCTTCATGCTCTCTTTGGTAGCAGTAAGAGGCTTGAGTAAATTAAGGAGCGGACAGCGTTGTCTATTATTCGCCTCGCCCATTCCGCTGCTCCACCAAATTCATATTCCACAGAATTGTAGATGATTAACTGTCTGCACGAAAATTTGGGCTGCACGCGCATAGGACTACTAAAGCCTTCCTTATCCATTACTCTACATGCTCAACAATATTTCGAGAGAACTTACTACTCAAAAAGAAAATGGAGAATTGTTTCGTTTCATTAAGTCTTTTTTTCTTTCTTTAGAGCTGCTTATGGGTTTTCAGCCGTGTCATACATTACATGTCAAGTCATTTCTTTTTTTCACAATTCAGCGCCAATTAAAGTCATCAAATGAAGTCAGTTCGTACTTCAACTGGTCTTCCCAAGAGATTGAGGCTCTTCATATTTCTCTGCTTCCACCAAAATACTGTATCTATTCTTTACTGTTTCCATTCTTTACGACCTAACCAATATTTACTGTTGCCTCTTAACTCGTGAAACTAATTCAATGGCATCGTATATCTCATACAGCGCATCGTTAAATAATCTACGGATCGATCGATAATTCACAAAGGTCTATAAATCTCCCATAAACCTTTTCCTCGATAACACCTCATTCCGACCGATCGTATGTGGTTGTCATCCACAACGCTGCGTCTTAAAGTAGAACAGAAATTCGTCGTAAGAAAATTTGACTTTTCCATATCCGTTTTAGTTCAAAGTAACCACTGTTGACAATAGCAATTCTGTGTTGTTATTGTTGTCGCAAGGCCGATATAATATAGGTCGATATTTCTGCAGTGTCTGTTTCTTCATTTAAAATGTCGCACATTTTTTTGTTTCAAAAATTATAGTGTAAACCTAAATTATTACTCTAGTTTGGGTGACCATTGTGAATACTTTCATTTTAATATCAACCGCAGTTCACAATCAATGCGGCAAACAGGTGTTACATATTATTTGTTTATTGTATTAATATTAAGCAGATCAAAAATATTTTATTTTTATTTCTTATAACTTAACAATGTTAAAGGCAGACAAACAAATATTGTTAATTATTTCCATTTACCGTAGATACACCATGGTATGCAGATATTTGCGTTAGTATTCCATGTTTAATATGTGAATGTGCGATCAATCTGTGCGTTCTTGCTGGGTGTTGTTTTTAAAGTGACAATATTTTATTTGGTAATTTTATAATTAAAACTAAATAGAAATAGTAATTCAAGGCTATTTGCTAAGGATTGGCTTGAATTATTCTAAAAATGTAGTATTCACTATTCCGTTGATGGTCTTGAGCTGCTAAAATCTTACATTTAAAAAAAAAAAAGTGGATATAAATTTTTTTTTAAATTATAATTCACTAAAATAGGAAACACTGGATATGCAACATGTTTAACTTGTTCTTTGGAAGTTGTAGATTGCTGCTTGGAAATCCGTTTTGTGGGTTGTATTGGTGATGATGATTAATATGTATGTGCATTTCTCGAATTGAGAATTGTATGATAAGTGATTTTATTACAAAACAAAGTCTCAAAAAATATCAAAAAATTGCTTCAAAATTAATTACGCTTTTACATTGTAAGCAGAAATTAAGTAAAATAAAATATAATGCATTATGCATTTATTTATATATCAGTTGTTTTTATGAAACTACAAAAATATGGCAACGCTGCAGCAGGTATATATTCTATTCATTAATTTAAAAGCAATTCCTTTTGAGTTAAATATTTTTGCTTAAGTTCTTTTGATTTGTTTGAGTTTATTGAATACATTTTCTTTTTAAATAACTTATTTTTCTTTTTATATTTTTTTTGCTGAGTTTATAATTTATTCAATAATTATTATATATCAATAATTATTTTTTTTTTAATTTCCCATTTGTGAATAATCAATGCAAATTTTTTATTTTGTGCAAAATAATATTTTTTCCATAAATTTCTCTTTTATTTAAGTATCAACCTGCGAAATGCATACCTTTTTCACAAAAAATGATACTAAAATGCGCAATCTATATAATACCCACACACTCGTTATTATCATGCTCGATAACTTTTGCACAGCCACAATTTATGCAACTCGATTTTGATTTGTTTGTTTTATTTTTCCATTTCGCTCGCCTGTAAATGTTAAATTACTCGCTACTTTACTTTTTATTAATTTTGTTTTACATATTCTCTCACTTACGCAGGCCATGAACACTGCACATTTCATCATGATCTCGAATTGGATCACAAACCGCCCACACGTGAGGCGCTGCTGCCAGAGCTATCACGCTCCTATCGACTTTTGTTGAGCGGTCTTGGTGAGAATCCCGAACGGCAGGGTTTGTTGAAAACACCGGAACGTGCGGCGAAGGCTATGTTGTTCTTTACCAAGGGTTATGATCAGAATTTGGAAGGTAAGTTATAAAAAATATGATAAATTATTTAAGTTAGATATAAATTTTTTATAAACTTGGTAGTGACTGTTTAAACAGTAAATGTTTTTAGAATTTTTTTTTATAAAATTACGAATTAAAGTTTAATTAATTCTCTTGATTTAAATATTTTAATTTTGTAGTTTAGACATACATACATACAGTTTTATGTAAAGATCTCCATAAAAATTTCGAGTTTTTGTCATTTGTTCATAAATACGATTGCCTTGCCAGATGTCTAACTGCTTTCGGGCAGCAGAAATTCTTTGCGTTTTACCGCGCAGTAGCGGATTGTCAACTTCATCAGTGCGCCAGTAATGATGTTTTGTTTTTATTTAATTTAATTTTTTTTTTACAGTAGAACTCGTAAGTTTTTTAATCACATGGTTTAGTTTTTTTTTTTTTTGTTGCTTGTTTTTTGGTACAGCCACCAGTAGCAGGTTTTTGCATTTCAAACAAGTTTCACTGTGCACAAATATATGGTTGTAGGTATATGGATAAAAAATTTTGTAGTTAAAAATATGTATATACATATTATAAATATATAACAACTCATTCAAAAATAATAAATTTCCACTACAATTCGCTCACAAAATATTCTTGATAAATACAATAAATAGATAAATATTCGTAATGTGCGCATTTATTACATTAAATTAAAAGAAAATTTAATTACATTTATAATTTAATCCATATATTATATAATGCATTAATTGCATTTAAGTAATTGTGCAGTCATTAATATGTGCGATGTGGGAAAAATAAGAGTGTAATCGAAAAGCTAACGTCTTTATCGTTAGCTATCATCTGCCGTTTAGTAGAGTTCATAAGAAGGACGAACATTTCATAAAAAAAATGCGGACGAATTACATTACTAATATGTGGTATCCATCTGGATGTGTTTTCAGCCTTCTTTCTGAGCCGCCTCCGAACAGCTGATGGAGTTTTGTGAGCAGCTTTTTATTTCATATCCGAACTATGAGTATATATTGTACTATCGCAAGGGTTAATTTTCCCTTTGTTGTTAGTGTAGACAAGATATTCATATGTGCATATATTATTCCACTTCTGATAAAAAAATAAATAAGTTATTCCACTTTTGATAAAAGTATTTAATACAATTCATTCCCGTAATAGTATGAAATCGCATTAATCAAATTTTTCCCCTAATTCCACTAGATAGTTATTTATTACACAAATTCAGTACGTTTTAGAAGTCTTTTCACGTTTTCTAGTCTTGAAACTTTCCACATGAATTGCAGCTTAAATTACTTTGGTCCATTTTTTTCTGTTCAAGAAAATCTTTTTGCATTAAAAAAGCGGTGTAAAATATATCGTCACTACCTTTGACAGCGAATATTTTTTCTAGTTTTACTCCATCCAATTGTTGAGCCATTCTTCGATTTCTTTAAAAAAAAAACCCATTGAAACATTGAAAAAGTCAGTAGTAGAAGGAAGCAAGAATACAGCAGAGGGGTTAAGATGGTGAGATCTCTCTTTTCAGCGCTTTCAGGTAGTTTTTGACTGTTACAGCCCCATGGTTCCGCACGTAGTCATGTTAAAAAGTCAACTTATTAAACCTTTTGGTCGTTTCTGACTATTTTTCACGCAATGCAATACTCAGACACATTAGATAACATTTCAATAATGATTTCGCCTGGTTTTAGCAGCGCATAGTACACCAAACGTATCTGGTCCCACGATATGTCGAACATGACTTTTGAACCATAGATGACTTTCTTTGGCATCGGTGTAGACTATAATGGAACCGGTTCACCAGGCTTGAAATAGTATTTTTTCGTTCCGGTGCAAAAAACACTTTCTTTAATGTCGAACAAGTAGCAGTTGTGATGGGAAATCGCTTTCCACATTTCTCGGCTTCAATCCGTACCGTAGCAACCGATTACTTCGGTTTATCTAATCTAATTTGATTTACCAGAAGCAACGATTCTGCAAAATAAGTTTGGCATGAATATTGATCCAGGTTCTAGGTTAGTCAGTTCGCTCTTTGTTTCCGTCGCTAAAATCTTTACTTTTGAAGTGTCGTAACCATTCTTTGCATGACCTTTCCGTTAGCGTAGATTCACCATAAACTTTCACAAGCGTTCGATGGGCTTCAAATGCACTTTTCTTCCAATTGAAATAAAATATCAAAATTTCCGACAAATGTTGTACATTTAACAAAAAAAAACGGACATTTCTATAGTTTTTTTAATCTTTACTGTAAGCCTCATGTCATCAATATATTTGATTGAGTGTTAAAATAAATCAACTGTAAAATAAACGCGTAATAAAGCTTTTTTCTTAATAGTAGATATGTATGTATATTAATTATTGTATGCAAACGACTGAACATTAGCGTTAATTGCGTTACTTTTAGATGCTTGTGAATATGCACATACATAGATGTTTTTTAATGTATATATGTAAGCACATTAAGTACTTCAGTAATTTACTACATAAGAAAAACATGTTGGCTAAGAATGCGTAAGAGTAGTCTTAATTTTTCTACAATTTCCTTTTACATGCATACATGCAATCATACAGAAAATGTCTTTATACCCAAGAAACAGTGTTAGGCTTTCATAAATGGTCAGCGAACTTGATGTCATGATTACTTTTTCAATTAGCCAACCATGTTAACTGTCGTTGCTTTCATTGCAAAAAAAAACACACACACTTTTCGTAAGTCACGGACGTCACTTTGTTCTTATTTTCAAATTTCTATAAACATACATACAAATGTACGTATTATGCGTACGCATATGCATAGTCAACGAAATTATAACTTGTGCTAACAAATATCCAGAATTGTGGGGATTTCTTGACACAACCAGTTTCTCAGCGATGAGTCAATTAGCCAAGGAAGTTTAGTTGTTGGGGAAATACCACAAATTGTACGTACAGAGTTGTTGCTAATTTTTGTTATTTTTTATATTTTGAAGAATTAGCTAGAACATAATGTGAGCGCAAACAAAGAAAGAGTTCAATCTTATATTTATATAGAAGTTTGTTTTTCCCAGCGCAGGCAGCTGTGACACCGAGATTTCACAAGAATTTATTCACACCCATATCTTATATTTCCTACAATAGCATTTACATATACACAGGCACATGCACCATCTATCTACACTTTATTAGCAAATAAAGATTGTTTTCTATTATTTAAATGTAAATAAATAAAAAAAAACTCAAAGAAAATATTAGCCTTTTCCTTCATATTTAAAATACCCATTAAACAAACCTTTGTTCCAATTAAACATAGCTGTTTGGTTGCGTGTAGAATGTGCGCCCGTTATAAGTGCCTGACACTGACAACTTGACAAGCATAAGTTGGCCACACAATTAACTGCTTTACGCAACATTAAAGCTGAAAAGCGACACTGAGTGGGCGTAAGTAGCTACTGCAAGCACATACATTTAAACAGATATAAGAAAATTGTGAGAAGACATGCAAGTAAATGTCCTTCTGAGTGAGTTTGCACGCGTACAAAAACAAAATTAAACAAAAAATAGTGTTGGAAGAGAAGCACGAATGAAATGCAATTTCCCCCTGAAGTAGTGCGAGTATACGATAATATACATACATATGTATTAGTGCTTATATTTTCCTTGCATAACATACTCGTATATATTTATATTCTTTTATAAATCAAATCACTAGAATTCTTGAATCAGTGAAGCAAGCAAAGCTTCTTCGTAACAAATATCTTCATTACATATGTATATCGTTTTTATTATCCTTTATGACTCAAAATATCTACGTGACTGCATTCAAGTTTTTCTTCAATCCCTAAAGTATACACAACAAGTGGTTGTGGAAAAAGTTCTGTATACGTATGTATGTATATTATAACATCAATTGTATAAGTTGTGTAGTTAGCGACCAACCCCATGGTTGAACACATACTCACACATATGTATTGCTACAGCCCAGCATCTGCCACCTACTTACAACCGTGCAAATACATTTCAATGTAAATTCCAGTACTCACTGTTAAACAACTCAAAAAAAATATAATTTTATGCTTCTCTCCATGTTTATTAACTTGACTTCCTGCTTTCTCTTTTTCTAATGCTTTTCCTTATGTGCACTCTTCTTCCGGTAACCTTTTTTTAACATATGTGCAGTAGAGCTGCCAACATATGCAATAATAACTTAGGCAATTTTGGCAAATATGGGAGTGTCCATAAGCCACATAGCTCGCCAAGAGGTGGGAGGGGTTGGTTTAAATTCTACGCCATGGATACGTACTTTATATATAAAAAAAAAACTATTTATTAAATGTTATTCTTTTTCCTTACTGCCGTTGACACCGTTTATACGACTGTAGCAAAGTTAACAGCAGCCATTCCTTCCTTATGTTTGCTTTCTGGTAACATTTGGAAATACCAAGTACAGCCAGGCCCTTCTCCACCAGATTTTTTCAACGGATTGGAGATCTTTCGCTTTCCCTTTGTTTGGAAATGCATATAATATAATATGAGTTGTTAGAACTTTTTAAATTTATATCAGCTAAAAATCAAACGCAGTTGGCAGCTCTGACTTTGAATGTCACAGGAAGAGTTGTGCGACAAAAAAGCTCTTTTGCTGCTTTTATTTTCAAGAGAGTAGCTTTATGTTTCAAAAAACTTTTCTTGAGTCTTTTTCCGGCTTTTGCTATTACCGACTCATAACGTAGGTGGGAATTTTCCCTTATTTATATTCAAGCGCAAATCCTTCTGGACATACATAACTAACATAAATATTTATTAAGTATTCATATATATATTTTATTTGTACGTATTTATGCGCATAGTAAGTGGTTTGGATAACGTATATTCTGTACTTTCAAGCAGGAAACAATTTAGAGTTATTTAATATTAAAAAAAAATTAAAATCTTTTAGAGAAAATAATAAACCAGTTATCAAAACTTTTTTTATATTTGGTAATTTAGTTTTTAGTTTTTCTTTTTTTTTTAATAAATTTTTTAATATTTTTTTTAAATAAATTTAAAATTTTTTTTTTATAAATTTTATATTATTATTATTTTTTTTTGCGCTACTACACACCATACTTAAGTGGAACTTCTGCATTTACTTTTAACCATTTCAAACATTGTTTCCTTTTCTCAATTAAATTACGAAAGCAAAATACGTTCATCTTATATTTCATTTATAAGATAAATTATCGATTTCGTATGATGCTATTATTTTTATAAACACATGCGCTAAAACAAGTCACACACATAGCAATGTGTAAATATTTAATTGGAAGAAAAACAAAGAAATGAAACTGGAATTACAAAACCAAAAAATTCAAAAAATAAAAAACCATTTAGAACAAACGTAAGCAACTGGTTCTTAAACTCGTTCAATTTTCGTTAATATTTGTTTGGTCGGTAATTAAATCACAAATACATACAATTGTGGTCATATGCATTTTTGTGCATTCAAACATGATTTCGGAGCAAAAATTAAATAGAAAATAACAAAAATGAAACAACAGACGAAAGAATGCAGTTGAAATATAAAAATTGACAGCTAAAACAGATCATGTTGCATTTAGCCAAGCTCGAGAATAATCAAATGTAGCACGAATCGCTAAAATCTACGTTCACTCATAATGTACATACATATACATATCTATTTAGGTATTATTTAAAAACTAACAACCGAAAATCTAGCGTTTATTTGATATTTGTTTTAAGCTTCTAAAATGGCAATATCATAGAAGTTCATGAAAACCCCAGTCATTTTTACTTCCATACTTGTGACATATCGATTACAATTCATTTAACGTTTTAATTCGCACTAGTGTATTTGGTGTATTAGGCTGTCAGAGCTCAAGATATTTTTGTAAAACATAAATTTAAATTACATTTCTTAATAATTCAGCAATAAAAAGTTGCAGGTGAACCAATTGCATAGTTGTAGGGAAATTCAATTAAAACATCCCTGTACATGGCTTATCGAGCGCACAGAAATCGATAACTTTTATCATCTGTTATATCAGTTCGCAAAAATGAAATTTATTCAACTTAGATATTTTCACATTGCAATCATTAATGCAAATTCTTTTAATTTATAAATATTTTTACATATTTTCAAAATTCGTCAATCGTTAAACGATTTTTGTTACTGTAAATGAAAAAAATGATGGAAGTAAATTGCCGTGCTCGTGCTCTTGTGGCTAATTTACACATATATATAAGTACGACTCCGTGGCGCAACGGTAGCGCGTCTGACTCCAGATCAGAAGGTTGCGTGTTCAAATCACGTCGGGGTCAATGGTGGCCGTAAGCTAGTATTTTAGAATATTTTTTGTTGAAAATAAAGCTAATTATTAATACGTATGTACATATGTAATAAGCGCGATGTAAAACAAATTTATGTTGCTACGACATAAATAGAAGGCGTACATGAATAAAGAATTAAATAAAAAAGTTTGAGTGTAAAATATATTAAAATTAATAACAAAAGTTGTGAAAGAAAAGATATTAAAATTAATAACATTAGTTGCTGACCCGAAAAAAGTCAAATAAGTTGAAACACGAAATTGAAATATCATTAAGGCAATACAATTTCCGAGCCAAATGCCTGTCATAGAGCTATTTATATACATTTTTGCGTCATTTGCTCAAAAACTGCAAGCAAATAAAAATTAAAAATTGCTAATATAGAATGCATAACTGCATTTTCCACCAAAATATTCAAATTTATACTCCTTTTGCAAATTCTAAAAACAGAATTTCTTCTCTTAAACAATTGTACAATTGTTTTCTCTTAATTATTAAAGCTTCTGCACAATAAAAAAGCTTTCTGAAATGCTTTTTAAGTTCAAGTTCAAGTTGCCACAGCATGCTTTTGGTTTTCGCTCACAACTTTTTGCATTCATTTGTCCACACATAGTGACTGAGCTTTAATACACCATTTGCGCTTATTAAAATATAAGACTCCGTGGCGCAACGGTAGCGCGTCTGACTCCAGATCAGAAGGTTGCGTGTTCAAATCACGTCGGGGTCAATGAAGTGATTCTTTTTATTTAATAAATAAATTATTTTATTTATTTTTAACTGATTTTATTTTTCAATTAAATTAAATTAAAAATTTTATATAATTGTTTTAGTTTTGATTATTACTTTTAGTTTGTTAATACTAGTTAAAGTGAAATATTTTAATTTATAAATTATTAGTAAAAATTAGTTTTTTTCGTTTATTTTTTCGAATGCTCTGCCGATGGCTCTTTATTTATTTGTTGCTTTTAACACCATTGCCGACCAGATTAAATAAATATATTTAAAAAATTGCCGAATATTTCGCACCAAACAAAAAAATGCATACATTTCTTCTGTCAATTTTATCACGTAATGTTATGTATTTAATTTCTATTAATTTCTTTTCTTTAATAATATTGAGCTTTATTTTTTAAATATGCCATAAAAAGTGATTAAATTAGTATTATTTTGATCTTTCCACCTTATACACATAATCTCAATTACATCAAACAAAATCCGCAAGTCATCAGGCATGAAAAATTATAAATAGCTTTAGCACTCTATTGTGAATGAGTATTTAGAATATTTGTTGACGAGAGTTAGCTGCCACGTGCTTGTCTATGGCATTTGTGCAGGAATAAATATATGACTCCGTGGCGCAACGGTAGCGCGTCTGACTCCAGATCAGAAGGTTGCGTGTTCAAATCACGTCGGGGTCAAACAATGAAATGTAGTAAATTCCTTTTTTTATTTATTTTTTACCCATGAAGTTGTAATATAGAAAATACGCTATTGTGGAAACAAATATTTCTTAACCTAACCTTAATAAGCTAAAAGTTCTAGTTACATATATAATATATGTATGTATGTACATATGTAAAGTTTATTTCAAAAAAACTCACTTTAAATAATTATGTTTTAGTTTATTTTTATGAATTTCGTGAATTAATTTTAATTTTTATTTTCAGATGTTCTCAATGGTGCTGTCTTCGATGAGGATCACGATGAAATGGTCGTTGTAAAGGATATTGAAATGTTTTCTATGTGCGAACATCATATGGTACCATTCTATGGCAAAGTATCAATTGGTTATTTGCCTTGTAATAAAATTTTAGGACTTAGCAAATTGGCAAGGTGAGTGGAGGCGTACAGGATAGGACAGCCAAATTTAGCATAAAATGATAATATTAAATAACATTTATTTGCAAAATTTAGAAAGTGTGTACATACGTATTATTTATATTTTTCTTAAATTACAGAATTGTGGAAATCTTCTCACGTCGTCTACAGGTGCAGGAACGTTTGACCAAGCAAATTGCCGTGGCCGTTACACACGCTGTACAACCGGCTGGTGTTGCTGTCGTTATTGAGGGAGTGTAAGTGGAAATATTGTTATATTGTATGCAACAAATAAAAATTAAAATATTTTTTTATTTTTATTTTAGTCACATGTGCATGGTCATGCGTGGCGTACAGAAAATCAATAGTAAAACTGTCACCTCAACAATGTTGGGTGTCTTCCGTGACGATCCCAAGACCCGAGAGGAATTCCTTAATCTTGTGACCAGCAAATAAACGCGCACAATGGAAATAAAGAAGGAAGGAAAAAAGGAAAGCTGCTAAACATTCCAGTGAAACGAAAAATCATGTACACAGTGGGAAATTTTTTTTTAACGAATGCTGCTTATACATACATACCATAAACACAATATTTAAAGAGAAATATATAAAATTAGTTATAAGGTGCATAGTGTTTAAAAAATATATATATGTATGTGGTGAAAACATACAATAATATTTTTAACCGAAAACTAACAAAAAAGAAAGCCGAAAAGAGAACCGAATTGTACTTAAATTCTAGAAAAATTTGGATGTGTAAGCAAAAATGTAAAAAATAAGGAAAGAATAAAAAATTATATTAATAACAAGCACTAAAAAAAATGTAGTAAAAGTGTAAGAAATGTAAAAAAGCAACGAATTTCAGTTAGCCAAAATACTCTTATTTACAAGGAAAATTAAATTAATAAAAAATATAATAAAATTACGAATAAATTACGCGAAAGGTGAAACATTCTTACATGAAATGCTAAATTATTTATAATTTCCTTTAAAGAAAATTACACGAAAGTTACATTGAAAACATTAAATAAAAGGTGTTGGCGTTTGATTAATAAATAATTTCAATAAGTTTTATAAAAAATGACTTGCCATTTATAATTTACCGCAAATTTTAAGCAAACGAACAAAATCTTTTATAAAACCTTTTTTTTTTAACGATAAAAATAGTAAAGAAATAAACATAAAATAAATAATAAATATACATAAATATATATTATAATGCACTTACATATATTTAGCAAATAAAAAATGAAAGAAGTCCTAAAGCATAAACTTCAAAGAATCATCAAAACGCATTTTTGCCTGCTGCAAACCGTTTAGGGAATTTACAACAATCAAACGAGTTTACAAAAAAAAAAAATAAAAATAAAAAATTAATAATTAAATAAATATATATAATAAATTACCGAACAAAAAAAATATCGAATATTATACATTTTACAAAACACTATACGTAATACAAGTAAAAATTAATATAAATATATGCATTATATTTTTGTCTAAAATAACATGCCCAAATTATTGCTTTCATTACATTTGCTATGTTGTTAAAAAATTAAAAAAAAAACTACAACTTTGAAAAAATATATTGAAATATTTATAAATGGGCGCTATAAATGTCGTAAATTATATATGCATACATACATACATCCATACTTCGAAACATTGGTATATTATATTAGTTGTTGCTCATTGTTGTCATATTCGTTAAAAGTAAAAATAAATATATATATACATATATTTATATATATATATATATATATATATAATACATGTTAAAAAAAGTTATATATATACGTACACACATAAATGCATACATACAAAAGTGTTTATAGCATGCGAAATGTATTTAAAAATTATTAAAAAAATAAAATTGTTATTTAAAAGCAAATGGAAAAAAAACTACTTTTTATTTAAAATAACGAGCAACTTTAAATATTTACTTTTCAGCACAAAAAAAAAACAATCATTACATATTAAGAAAAAAATGCATCTCGAAAACTATAACCAAAACGAGACGACAGCTCGTCGACATTCAAACAGCTGATTTACTTCACTGAACATCGCTATGCGTTTGTTGTGCATCTGACAGCTGATCAGCTGATAGCACTAGCACAACAACAACAAAATGAATGTGTTTTTCGTTTTTTACTTTTTGCCTGGTTTGGCGCAGATTGTCAAAAGAAAATTCAATGGAATTTAACAAATTGAAGCAGCCGCGGAAACAGCAAAAACAAAATCAGCTGATTTTTGAATTATGCAGTTTTAGATAGGGGTTTTAATTAGAAATTTAAGTCATATATCTGCTGAACCACCTTGCGGTCTTGATAAAGCTAAGTAATTTTAATAATTTTTTATTTACCGAAACCGACAAAACCGAAGCTGTTTGTTGTGAAACTCTTTGGTAGAAGAATCTCCAGCACTCAATCAAATTTAGAGAGATAATTCACCTAAATTTCTATTTTCTACGCTTTTGTGAAAGCAATTAATCAAATTTAATTTATTAGTTAAAATACGACAACTGAGAGCCTAGCAATATTAGAAACGAAACTGTTTACTTTCATACCAGTCGAAACTATGAATTATTTTCAACACTGTAAATATAAATAAACTGTTACTTTCATTAGTAGTTTTATACACAATTTTTTCTATACTAAATTAAGTTTAATATGCGCATAATATTAGCAATATTTTGCATAAATTTAATTATATATATATTTTACACTACCAATTATTTGCATTATCCGAATACCTCCTCTAAGCGAAATATTCGGTTTTCCATCATTGTGAACCGAAAGTCCAAATATTTACATGGTTGCACTCGCACACAGGTCAATTATTATGATAAGAAACTATTGTGAATTGTGGTTAACCCTTTGGGAAAACGTACGCTAGTACTATTAAAATATATTTACTTATCAGCATCATCGGCTTGAGAAAAATTCTATAAAATATTTGTCACAAATATTTCAACTAAATAACAGTTTCAATAGAAAAAAATATATATATACATCATTTGAGTTGCTGTCAAATTGCTTCAGCAATTATATGTGAAGCACTACAAGTTGGAGAATACCTAAAAGTGTGCTGTTCCAATTGTTTACAAAGAAAAAAAGAATTGTGATTAAATTAAACTGAAAATTCATTTTGTTATGCAAGTGAGTAATGGAATTACTAAAGAAAAAAGCTACGCCAGAGATAAACTGCATATATGCCGTGTGAAAAGTGAAAATTTTATGCAGCATTCGCGATAGATTTTGAAAGGAAATTGCACGAATTTAAACGATCAAAAACGATTATCCTCCACAATGTTGCTGCCACATTCCCCCCTCGATATGCTGCATCAATAGCTTTCCACACAAAACGTGGTGTTTTTGTTGTATTCACTCGACATGCTTTCTGGATGCGTTCCCTGCTGCACCACTGTGAATTGCCAAAGTTATTTTTGAGATATATGCATACATACTTACATGTGTGTATGCGTATGTCAATACATGGATGTTTGCAGCGGTGTTAGCTAGCCCATTGTGAATGCATTCGTTTTTCGCTGTGGTCACGTACTCTCTTTCGTGCTGTGCAATTTTGTTATAAACTTCAGCAAGAAAACATTTGCTATTAAATTTGTGCATATTAAACACGAAAAACATATTTATTTAAGTTTCATATTAAGTGCGTGAAAATGCTGTTAACATAGTGAACATTCTTTAAATGGATCTACAAAGCTCAGCCGTTGACATTGATTGGTAAGTAAATTTTGTGCCGTTCTATTAATTTTTTAGTTTATCATTTTTTATGCAGGGTAGTTGTGTACATGCATTTTTCAACGTTACACCGTTTGTTCGTCAAAAGAGAAAAAGTAATTAGTGAGAATAAATAAAAAAAAGTGCATATAATCGATTTATTCACAAATCAATTACGTGCAACGCGTACATAAGAAATTTATGTGTCTGTAAAAAGTTTTACTATTTGGTGGTTAAAAAGATTTTGATTTAGAGCAGTTAGCTCGCCGCCTGTTTTGGTGTTGGTGGGGGTTTAGATTTTACTTTTGTTGCTTTTGTTTACTTAATTTACATTTAATCCCATTAAATATCCACAAAGCAGTTCGTTTGCCATTTAGTTGCATCTACAAATGAATGTATATACATGTGTTGAATATCTGTGTGTATACTTGTGCTATGCGTGTGATTATACGGACGATGGCGGTGAATTAGTGTTTTCATAACACTCAAGTGTTTTTTATTAGCCATTTTGCCAAGCCCCCTTCTTTCGTGCATATTTCACCAATGCGTGTTTGTACATACATACATACTTACATATATGTATGCCTATTAATATACATACAAGCAGAATTGTACAATGTTTAATGCATTTAATTTAGACAAAATTCTTTTCCTGCTCTATCTTCGCAATGTGCATAACATTCATGAAATAACCTTTTATTGATAGTGCTGCCAGGGTTGTGTTCTGCCGCCATTAGTGACAGTTTTGTGTAGAGTCTTTTTATTCTTCAGTTGAATTCAGTTTTTTACAGTTTGCTTTTATATTGTCCTCAAATAAAAAAGCGACATTCAAACGGCGACAAAAGAACAAAAAAAGGAATAAAAAAAAGGAATAAGGAATACATAATGTGAAATGCAAAAAAAATTTAAAATCACCTTTTTATAAGCGGCCTACACTTGAAATCTAGTAATTAAAAAGAAAGAGATCAGAACTAAGTTATAGTAATGATAGGCTGCTATACACATAAATATAATTATCAGATATTCCTGCATAATCTTCACCAAATTACATAAACAAATAAAATAGAAAGTGGTGCCCTATTATTAATAAAAATAATATTGAATTCATAAAACAGCAATAATAATTATTCATAGACATTTGTATAATACTAAAGATTTTGAGAAACACAGGGGAGGTGATAAACCTTATTCCTATAAAAATCTGTATGTTATTATTCTTGTTTTTGTAAAGACGAAAATATTTCCAAAATTGTTTTGCCGTGATTGCTTCCGTATAAGGTACTGAACATTGTTGTTATTGCTGTGATTTCCGTTGTTGTAATCTTAAAATTGCTCTTGAAATAATTTAAGCTTAAAAATATTCCCCGAAGTGGTTTTGTCCATCTTTGACTGAATAAAAACCTGGGTCTTTCCAGTAAAGAGAACCGGTTGACATTGTAACTGCTGCATTTTAATCGCCTCTTATAACAGGCATGCCTCATTGTGATAAATCCTTAAACCTCTAAACCGCAGGTGTCAAATACCCGGCTGTTGCGGAAACTATCGCATTCCTTTGGTTTCTAATGTCAGGCGTAACTATGGCAAGTGCCGGCACCCAAAAGCGAGAGGCCAAAAAAATCTTTGCTTATTCAAAACAGCTGATTTTTCTCAAGATGCATAAATTTTTGTTATTTTATTTCATTTGGCCTAATTTATGTACGCATTACGCTCGTAAAATTAAACAAATTATAAAAGGGATGCGTTTTCAAAAGATTTTTCGCAAAATACGCGTATGTAAATAAGAAAGTAAAATAAATAAAGAGAAAAAACGTGACAATTGAAATGTAAACAAACAAACGATATACATAAAAATGTACAATAAACTATTCACAATAGATTTAAATGGCTATATAAAGCTAGCCTAACAGTTTGAAATACGCTAAGCAGCACAATTTGACATCCACTGTTGCCATAAATTGCATAAATGCGAGAGTTTTATAGCAAGGTACATTTTTTAGAAGGTGCTGTAAAATTTATAGTTCATTTTTGATGGCAAATTAAATTAAAAACAAAATAAATATAAAAAAAATTAAAATAAATAAACAAAAACAAAGTAATAATACATAAATAAATGTAAAAAGTAATAAAACGTAGTAAAAGTAAAAGAAAATTAAAATAACTATGAAAATAACTAGTTTTAAATAAAAAAATAAAGAATATATCAAAAAAGTAAAAGAATAAAATATTGTAAAAATAGATACATATAACAAAAAATAAAAAGGAAATAAAAATCATTAAATATGAATAAAAATAATAAAAATAAATGAATATAAATAAAAAAATAAATAGACAAAAATAAAACTTATTGAACATACACAAATTAAACGTAATTATGGAAATGTCAATAATAATATAAAAAAATAAGAAATATAAATAAATAATAAATATAAATAAATAATAAATATAAACAAATAAAAAAATAAAAATTAATACAAAAATAAATAAATAATAAAAAAAAATAATACAATGAACAAATAATAAATATAAAAAAATCAATAAATAATAAAATAAAGAAAACAAATAAATAATAAAATTTAAAAAAATTAATAAATAATGATATTAGAAAAAAAAGAAATAAATAATAAAAGTAAAAAAACATAAAAATGAAAAAACAGTTAAATAAATAAATAAAAATGAAAAAATTAAAAATTAATAAACTAAAGTAAATAAAAAATAAAACATGAAAGAATATAAAATGTAAAGTAAAAATTAAAATAAAAATGTGAAACGACTAAAAATAATAAAAAAAATAAAAGTAATAAGAAATTAAAAATAAATAAATAAATAAAAGTGAAGTTATATAAATAAAATTAAATAAATAAAAATATATAAATAAAAATATATAAATAAAAATATATAAATCAACATAAATAAATCAAAATATTAAATCTAATTAATAAAAAATAATAATAAAAATAAAGATAAAAAAGTAATAAAAATAAAAATATAAAACAAAGTTAAAAAATTTAAAAAACAAAATAAATTACCTTATTCCAAGCATTTCTATTAAGTGATTAATTAATTATAACATTAGCATAACGCATAAGTCAAAAATAAAAAAAAAACGCAGAAGAGTGAAAAACTCTTATCATTTCGCGAACAAACTACTATGTTGTAGTTCAGTGAACTCTAGAAAGTAAATATTTATTTTTCGCACCAAAAATAAAGAAAAGAAAAGAAACAACAAAATAAAAATGGAACAACAAATGGTGTGAAATTATTTACTATTAAATAGCAACGTTGACTTTCACGCAAAGTAGCACACCTTACAATTCGGCAAGCAATCAACCCTTAATACTAGTCACATTTGATAAGAAGCCTGTACTCGGTCAAGGTGTTTGATTGTTTTCCCTTATTCTTACCTTTAAAGAGAACTTGACCATAGACAAAAGTGCTTTTAACATGTTATACATATATAAGAGATGCGTTTGGTTGTGGTGTAGGAAACTATCAAATACATACATATGTACATATTATATGAGATCCATTTGCAAGCTTGACTTTAAGCAAAAAACACAAATGAAAAAAAAAGTGCATATCCAGTGCATAGTGTTTCCAATTTCTCACTTTTTATTTTTGTTTTGATAAGCTCAAATCTTGTTGTTTGCACCGCAAAAATATTCGCCAAATTGGTTTTCGAAGAATAGTACGGTAATGACCGCCTTGGTCGGATAAAAAACAGAGGCGTCACATTATAGAGAAACAACGAACTGTTTCGCCGGGATTAGAGGGTGTTCGATGAGCTGGTTTTCGAGATCATGCAAAGTTTGTTGTCTTTAACGCTGTTGCCCCTTTGGTAGGAATGCCCTTTCATGCATATTTTCCCTTGAAAATCGATCAGCCGTTCATTGCTGGCTTAAAAAACTAAAGATCTATTCGGAAAAACATCGAAACGGAAACCACAAGATTTTTATTTTTGTTTATTTACTTTTAAATACATTTTTTTTAATTAAATTTTATTTTTATTTAAATTTATTTTTTTCTCTTTATTTCATTTTATTTATATATATTTTTAATTTCAGTCAATTTTATTTTTAGTTTATTTTAATTTTTAATTTATTAAATTTAATTACATATTTTTAAATTTAATTTTATTTTTTAAATTTAATTTTATTTTTTACTTATATAATTTAATGTAATTTTTTTGTTCTTTTCTTGTTTTTTTTGTTTTTTTTTTATTTTTTTAACTTTTTTTTGATATATTTTGTTCTTAATTCTATTTTTTATACTTTTTTATTTATTGTTTTTATATATATTTTTTTATATATTTTTTTTTATATATTTTTTTAATATATTTTTTATATATTTGTTTATATATTTTTTATATATTTTTTTTAATATATTTTTTTATTTTTGGTTTATATTTTTTTTATTTATTTTTTTTATTCATTTGTTTTATATATTTTATTAATTTTTTTGTTTTAATTTTTTTTTTTTTTTATTTTGTGTTTTTATTTACTTATTTGTTTAATTTTTATTATTTTTTACTTTTGATCATTTTTTCTTAGTTTTTATTATTATTTTTTATTTTTATTATTTTTTTTATTTTTATTATTTTTTTAATTTTTTTTATTTTTATTATATTTTTATTTTTATTTTATTTAAATTTTATCTCATTGACTTTTTCTTTTTTTTATAATCTTCCTTTTTTCTCCTTTTAATTAAAAATATTCAGTTAACTTCGATTCACCCTGTGCTTGTTTGTCAAACGCCAAAATACAGCTCTGTCAGTTGTCAATTGTTAAATAGAATTTTACCTATGATTCCTGTTTGTTCTGAGTGTAACATACATATGTAATAGCGTATTTGTGTATCTATAATAATTACAACCTTTTCTATTATCCTTGCAACATAGAGAAGCGTGTATACCTGCTTACGCTGTCCTTCTGCCGCTTCGATTGCCTTGTGGTGTTTGTTAGCGCAGTTCAATGCACCAAAAGCAAATATTTGCTTCTTCTTCTTTT